GTTTGGCTTCTTCATTTGAAGTAAGTAACTTTTCGCCCTGAAAAGTGTAGAAATGACAAAAGAAAAGCCTCCCCCTCCCCCCCCGTCTCCCCCCCCCGGCGTTCCCTCCCCAGTCCAGGCTGCCAGCGTACACAGTAAAGCGAGGTTTTACCTTCAGGCGCAGCGGCTGTGGTATTCCCCTGCAGAGAGCACGAGTAGGTCGCAGTGCAGCCGGCCAGGTGTGAGGAGCATATATAGAGACTCCTCTCTCTCCATGAGTCAGGCTCTCTGCAGCTCCTCCTCTTCACAATAAAAGCCCCACGGCCTGCCTGAGAACAGTCCCCTTTTCACAATAAAAGCCCATCGAAAACTTTAAGGACTTCCCTTTCCGGAGTCAGGAATCCAGAAGTAGCCGATAAAGGGAAGAGAGGACTTTGTCTATTTGCTTTTCACGCGTCCTTTTTGTGTGCGCGTTCATATTGTTTCCTGAGCGGCTGAACATTCGACAGCAGGATGATTGAGGAGGCAGTTTAAGGAAATTAATCATCAATTCATTCAGGTCCAGGTGACACAAATGAACTCCGTCTATTGTGAAGTAACGTTTGAAACGACGCCCTTTCTGGGACACAATGCATTCACTCACACGCGTGTTCACAGGTTAAACAATTCTCCTCGTTTTTGTGGGATGAAACTAATCAAATGAATAAGTCGTTTCCATCTGGCTCTATTTTTAGAGTTGCAGTGTGTTTTTTTGCCGACTCGCTGATGAGTCACAGTGTGTTGATGGGAGGCGGGAGGTCCGAGGGGGGAGGACGAGGGGAGGACGAGGGGCTGTGTAGTTTAGATATGAGATTTTTAACACTCACAATATGGCGACCGGGAGGAATTTTTGCACATGAGCGACTTTAGAAAAGCTTTCTGGGTCACGATCATGTGGAGAAGAGAATTTAGAGGCTGATTTGAAAGAAATACAGAAATGATCATGTAAGAGAACAAAGCAGATTTTTAGTTTTTAAATAATTCCAGTGCGACAGCAGGACTTGTTGCCATCTATATATGTTCTCTGTTAAATTGATTCCAGCTGGTTTGGTGTGATATATGTTATTGATATTGATTTTTTTCATTCTCATGACAATATCTGCCTCTTCATTAATTCATTTTTTTCATTCTTATGGCGTTTGTTTTTACATCTGGATGTAGTGTAACCCTGGGTGCCCGTGACGTGGATTTTCCACATGGTCCCATTGGCCTCCTGTGTGTGCGTGTTGTTGTTGGGGAGAGGTCAGAGGTCGCTGGGCCCTTGTACAGGGTCCCCCCCCCTTGAGGTGCCAGTCCCCGATGCCCTGGTTCACCAGCGGAGGCGAGTCGGTGACAGTGTGTGTGTGTGTGTGTGTGTGTGTGTGTCGTTATGCCCACTCACTAGTGGCAGTGGTCCTAAAGAGGGATTCAGTCACACACACACACACACACACACACACACACACCAGCGTCCGCCGGGGTCAGCATTTAATCGAAGGTTGATTGACCTCATCCGGAAACAATGTGATCCTGTGTGTGTGTGTAACGTTGTAACGTGTAGCGTGTCTCTGTGTTTAAAATACCAGGGTGTTCTTTCCTGGAAAAACACAGTCGTGCTTTCTTGTGAGGGGATCATTGAGGCCTGTTAGTTTTCTCATGCTGTCAACTCA